GTTTCCAGAGACTCAGATAGAATAACAACATCATCAGCAAAGTCAAGGTCGGTAACCTTGAAATCCTCATTTTCTGGGACCTAGCAAAGTCCCGGAAAAGGAGATTTTTTCATTGCTAGCATCAGCTCCTGAGCCATGAGGACCGATAGAACATATCATAGCCAGCTCGGTCGCAGCCAGATACCACATTAATGTCACCCAGAACAATACGAATATCTCGCCGAGGAGAGCTGTCTGCCACAGATATAAGTTTGGCGTAAAACCTCTCTTTCACATCAAGTTCATACACATCAGTAGGAGCGTACCCAGCAATAAGAGACATGAAGCCAAATGTAAGCTTGCCTCAGTACCATTTTACGCTCATCGACTAGAGTGACCTACTACCGAGGGTTGAAGTCTTCTGGAGATGGCTATGGCTACTCCCTGGAGATGGTGAGCATCGCTGCGGCCCGAACAGTAATAAGTGCCTCTGCCAGGTCTTCTCACCACCGAGAGAGCATCCACCTCAATTCTCAGCTACTTCAGCTCCCTCGACAGTAGTAGTAACCGAACATCCTGTTGCAAAAAGCGGACGTTCCAAGCCACCCACCCTAACAGCACGCCTGAGGTTTAACCTCGGGCAGTCACTCCGGGTGGACGCCACCTTGCCACTCTACCGATGTTGCCCCATTTAGCAAGGGTCCCATAATCCAACTGTGGGGGTCCCGTGGGCTTTGCACTGCAAGCCTCACTCCAGATTAGGCGGCCACCGGAACGGGGAACCCCCGAACTGAGTCCCAGCGGTCGCCAACCCAGTGGGACCCACAGCTTATATATATATATATATATATATATATATATATATATATATATATATATATATATATATATATATATCAAGTATGCTTTTCTAAATTCCGCTTCTTCATTTCAGTACAACTTCCTACGCTTATGTATAAACACATCTTCATCTGTATCTTTTGATTTTCGACAAATAGTAGATGCAGTGATTTTAACATGATTTATTGGTATGGATCTCTCTCTCCTCTCTCTCTCTCTCTCTCTCTCTCTCTCTCTCTCTCTCTCTCTCTCTCTCTCTCTCTCTCTCTCTCTCTCTCTCTCTCTCTCTCTTTCTCTCTTCCCCCTCCCTATGCCTTTCTCTCACCCAATGTGCTAGTGTAGAAAGTCCCATTGAATTAGCAGTACGATTTCGTCTGTCAAAGTTTCTATTCGCTCCTGAAAATAAGAGAAAGGAGAGCCAGAGGCAAGGCCATTTCTACATTTCCACGGATATGTGAATTTAGTATCGAATGGCTCGCATTTTGCGTTCCGTAATTATTAGCATTGCCAAAACTAAAGACAACCATGATAACTGTTTATCTTTAACAGGTGTTCACTAAATGTCATATCCTGTACATTCAGCACCGTTGACAGATGGCCTGTCCTCCGCATGCAAGTTCATGCTCACACGTACTCGGCCTTTAAGCTCATATATATATTATAGTATTAACTAATAATAGCAAAACTAACAGTTTTCATGGAAAGTAAAACCTGGCTACTTGATTATCATACAAATATAAGATATTCTGGTCCCACCGTATAAAAAATAACAGGGAATATTTACTTTTATAATACCCTAAAGGCATGATCTTTGAGCAAAGAAAATCCCTGACAAAACTTTATTTAGATTAGAAGCTTCGTAGTAAGGGAGCAGAGAGGAGGTCTTTGTACAGCCTTCTTTGTTTATGAAATCCTGTGGTAAGGCTCTATAACTGCTTACAACAAGATAACCTCTTCTGGAAGGTTGTGATTTCAGCGTCCATATGAGGAAAAATAACTCCAGTTTGTGGTGAAACGCATGCAAGTTACAATACATGGTGTTTCTTACGTTTACATCCGCATTGTGATGTAGGCCTAGATTTCCCCCGAGTTACTTTTAGAATGTGAGAATCGGGTTAAAAACCGTGACACAGTGTGCCGTCTCGTTGCCTGTATTACTGAGCTGAAGGGGATGTCTTTTGTCTTTTTTCTCGTTGGGAGGGATTTGAATGGAATGTGTTTATGATTTTTTTTTTTTTTAATACGAGTTCCTTAAATATTCGTCGATATGTGGTGAACGTTTTAGATACGAGTTCCTGATTTGTTCATAAGAGGAATTTTGGATGAATTACGTTTTGGTATGAAAATTAGTTAGAGATACCTGAAGTTAAAGGTAAATGCATGATTTGTGACTGATAAGTGCTCCTTTCTAGATAAGTGATTTTTCTTAGACAAAGATAAAGTTTGTGTATGATAGTCATTTTGTGGTTTGTCAGTATACATATTTGTTAGGTACTTTTCAACAGCGATTGTACATCACCTCTCACAATTCAGTGCTCAAGATGTTCATGCATGCTTGTGCACGAGTCTGTTACTCATATTATTGGGATGTTGATTTTGTTACTGATGGACAATATTCTTCTGCCATTATGTAAGAACTTGACAGACTCTATAGACATAATAAGACAGTATCAGGCAATAC